TTACACCAAAAACTTTAGAGACTACTAAACCATACTTGGCTCTCTATCAAAATCACTGCCAGAAGATGTGTTATTATACTCATTATATGAAAGATTATTCCCATAGTACTTCATGACACTTGGCCGAACAGAATCTTCAGATTGTCCAACTAGTGACTATCCATAGGAACTAGTTGTTTCTCCCAAAGTCTAGTTATTTTGTATAAGGCACTAGACCAAAACAGGCTCTAAGCTAGTTAGCTATGACCAACAACTACCCCTGATCAACAAGCCTGAGCTCCAGATGAACTAACGCCTAGTCCCTGAATATATATAATTTTGATAGTAACAAATAAATAACATTTAAATTGAAAAGGAGCCCCAGTTAGTTGGGAGATTCAGGACTGGAGAAATCTTGACTTGCTTCATTTAGGGCTTTAGCATTGCAGGCAGTAGGGACTATGAGACAGACTAAGGTCCAGACTGAAAGCTAAATTTGCAGACTGGAGCTCTTGACCTGTTGACCACCACCAGCCACCATAGAGCAGGCCACAGTGGGCCATTGTTTTAGCCTACAAGTAACCTGAGACTGGGTAAGGAGCAGGCAGCTGGATGTGCTCAGTGTGAGACTCCCTGATGGAATGCCACAGTATCTTGTCTACATTGCTTAGGCACTCTCAGCCAGGGGGAACACTCAGCCAAACATTCCTCTCCAGGGTCCCAACATCCAATATGTGAGTGTAGCACTAGATATATAAATCAAATCACAGGGCTTCAGATAAGTTGGTTTAGAAGTCACTGATCAGTGACTGTCCTCCAAAATATCCTTCAACATTTATACATGTTAAATTTGGTAATGATATGCTTTCTTTGATAGAAGTTGGAAAGTTCAATATTGACAAACTTTATGGATAACAATTTCATGACTGCGATGTTTCGATAGAGATTCGTTGTCAATTAGGAAGTTGTACTTCTTAGATAATATGGTAAGGCAGGGGTGGAAATAACCCATTGCCCAACGTCCGAGTCCAGTGTTTTTTCTGTCGGGCAAGCAAATTTGTATATCACACTGTATTGGTGTCCAGATGAGTTTCCAATGTTAATTATGTTGTTTATTTAAAAAATCAGCAAGAAAACGGTCGGTATAGTGGGAAAATTATCAAGGCAAGTGACTTTACATGTGCCACTGTACCGCAGTACACTAGCAATATTAAAGTTATTTCCACCCCTGTAAGGATATACCATGATATGTAGAGTTTGAAATTAAGTATGTAAACTAAGCATCCTCCTCAGGATCCTATTTCTAAATAAAAACTGAAGATGTTCCACAGGTGGAGTGGGAGAAGATTCAATACCATAGCAGAAATCCCCAATGACTCCACAACCCTCTCACCATTTTAACCCTGATATGGAAGAATGTCTCATCAAATGTGGCTTTATTAACCCCAATTGAACTGTCTATTTAAATTACTGGTCAACAAGAAGGTAAACATTCTCTTAAAAACTACAATGAATATTGACAAGAATCAACAGGAGCTTTCTGAAGGAATCTGTGACAATAACCAGTAATAATGCCCAACATGTGCTCAAGAATAGTGCTGACAAGATGGAATTAACATTGCGGTCAAGCAGTCATTGTTTGAGCATCTGTTTATTATTTGAGTACCACCAGACAACGAATTCAACTGTACCAGGTAGTAGATTTCTGTACCTGCCACTCCTTTGGCCTATTTACAAAGACTGCTATGTGTTGAGTGTAAATGCTACATTGTAAAACCCTAAGGGCTCCCCACCTACTTTATCCTCACCTTCAAACACTTGTAAAGTCCCATACTTTCAGACCAAATCATAAACATTATTTCATGATCCACAATACACTTACACCTGTGAAGAGTGTTGATGAAATCCCTGATGTTTGGAACCATGATATTGAAAGATACACTAATCTAAACTTTGAACATTGGGTTAATGACAAAAACCTTTGACTTCAATCCCAATTTCCAGGCAGCATTTTGTTTCACGCATACAACACGTTAACATCACAATCCATCACAGAAAGGCCAAATAAGTTAGTTGAAAAGTTCAAAGTAGTCATTTACCAAATGATAGCTGCTATCTTCCTGTAGACTATATCCCGGGGTCGCTGATGCACAACTGAAAGCTAAAGGTCAGGTAGACCTACTGCAGTGGAGAGACTGTGGAGCAGTGGGGACCAACATTGGATATCAGCCACTGTACAATGCTGTAAGGCTGCCTGCAGGCTATGATGTAACTCAGGAATGATAGACTAGGCCAGGCAATCTGGACGATTGATCATTAGATTAGTTATGTAATCAGGTAACATGCATTTGGTATTTCCCAATATGTGCTAAGTGAAGAAAGCTTGAAAATTCCTCCTTACTGTGTACGTGGTAAAGTCATTTCCAGTTTCACCTGAATGATTCATAACTTAAATTACCACATACACCATTTAATGTGATTGATTTGGGGCTGAATGAACAGGTGTGTTGTACATACTTACTCTTGCACATAGAAAAAGGCTAAAAATGGTTTAACAGTGAAGAATATTGGTTCTAGCTAATTAGTCACAGTCAGTTAGCGTACTTTTACAGCAGGGCTCGATTTAAGAGATGTTAACCTACTTGCACAAGGTGCAACCCAAGATAAAAACCTACTTGCACCAGTCAAATTCCAGTTGCACTGTTTTTATTGCAATATGTAAAATCAGAAATATGCTATGGAATTATTTAGATGTTTTATTCAGATGTTTACCCACTCAAACATTGACTTGCGCCTGGTGCAGGTTAGACATAACTTTGTTGCACTTTGTAATATTGGGTTGCACCAGTACAAGTAACAAAGCACTAAATCGAGCCCTGTACAGGCACGTGTTTAAATTGAACTTTAACAAGCATTGTCACTAAGGTGACATAATCCCCCGCCGCAAATTATCAAATCAAACTTATAAAGTAATGAAAGTTTAAGATGAAGATAAATGTCAACAAAAACATTACCTTGCTCTTTAGTTGTTCAAACACATACATAGTTTCAAGACTGACTTTGACCTTGACATGATTGTCATAGTGTATGAAATATGCAAGACTAGTACTAAAGAAATTACATTCAAGGGAGGTCTTGAAAGTCTATGAAGAAAATCCAGTGAACTGTTCTTAAAATATCTTGCTGACAATTCAGGTTAACATTCTGAAATCTTCATAGTGATCTTGAAAATTAAGTGAATGTCACCAAAATCGGCTGGGCCCTGCGCCTTCCCTGGATGAAGCTTGGTGTCAAATATGAAGAAACTCCAGTGAAAGGTTCTTGAGGTATCTCGTTGACAAGCATAACATGTAGGTTAATATGCTGAAATCTGCAAAGTGTCTCTGTGACCTTGAAAATTAAGTGAAGGTCACCAAAATTGACTGGGCCCTGCACCTTCCCTAGATAGAGCTTGGGGTTGAATATGAAGAAAATCCAGGAAACGGTTCTTGAGATAGCTTAACATGCAGGTAAAACGTTAAAGTCCCCTTGTGACCTTGAAATGAAGGTCAAGGTCACCAAACCTGACTTGGACCTTTCTTATAGTGTGATGAACCTAGGTACCAAATATGAAAAGAATCTAGTGAACGGTTCTTAAGATATTCCAATTAGTACGTACAGACAGAGCCTAATACTATATCCCCCGCTTAGCGCTAAATGCACGGCGGGGGATAATTAAGTGGTACTTTTTCTTAAGATTGAGTAAGTATGGTTTTACATCGCTTTTAGCAATATTCCAGCAATATCACTGCTGGGGACATTGTACCCATGTGGGGAATCTAACCAGGGTCTTCGGCATGACGAGCGAACACTTTAACCACTTGCCTCCCTCCACCGCATTTTTTCTTAAGAGGTCTCTAGATTCAAATACTATTGGAACAAGCCACAATAATGCTGTGTATTTTGAACAGGAAGGATCATAGAATTTCAGTTTTTGTATGTGTCTATGTATCATGAAAATAAAGTTTTCATAAATCATGATAAACCACAAACTAAAATACATAATAACATCTTGCAATCAAAAATGCAACACAACCACAAATGATGGCAGTGAGAATGCATTAACATGTTGCTTTTACAAATAAACATGCATGAAGGAAAACAATATCTGTATTTTATAAGTGAATGCTGTGGGCCAAGGATGGGACTTGGGTACAAGATAAGGGAGGGTATTTTTTCTTAAACTTGGAACACTGAATATATGTAACATTCCATAGAAAGAAATTACAGTCACTATATTAGGCACATTTGATTGTAGCAGCTGGCGATGAATTATATTCTTGCGCACAGCATATATTGACCAGAAGTCAGTTGCACAATTGATAACAAGAAAAGCAAGAATGCAAGCTATTCCATTTCATAGCAGTATGTGTACTATCGTCGTAGTATCGATTCTGAATGAATCATAGCTTCAAAACACTCTACTGTTATCGCAGCAGGGTTGCTATCTCTTTACAGCTTATAAATACCCTTAAATACCAAACATAACAGTTTGCATCAAATCACGTGATACTTCGACGAAACTAAAACACTAAAGACTGAAACGAAACGTCATCTGAGTGACGGGTACTGAAGATATAACAACATTCCCCAACCCTAAACAGGCCTCTGACACTACTAAATTACTCATCGGATGCCATAATTCTATGCATCAGACACATTGAGTCAAAACGTGAATCAGGTACATCTATTTCGTCTCGCAGTGTTTCATAAAGGTAGCTCCAAAGTGCATAATGATCAAACACCGTTAAAAATCAAGATATTGTCACAAAAAAATGTTGTACAACGCGCGTTTTAACGCTTTCAGTAAACCGGCTGAACCAGGTCAAGCCAATCTACAGTTGGGTGTGCTGCATACCGAAAATATCTGTGTAATTAAAGGTACGATGTTAAACGCGATCTAAGCATGAGCGCCTCTAAACAACTTTCAAACACATTTATCTCAAATTTGTTCCATTTACATCAAGTGATATCAATCTTACCTGTTAAAATACCGCAATATTAGTTCACTGGGATGATTCCGACCAAATACGACCTTCAGGGGATTCCGTTTGATCGTTGGTAAATCGCGGTAAGCTGGATTATTAACACTGCTGAGTATAAATAAGATTTGCTTTTTTGCTAGCTGTTTACTGATTAACCCCCGTTCCAAGCCGCTGTAGATACACAAGCAATAAAATGCGTAGATGTCGTTATATTACCAAACGTACAGGAGTTGAATATACTAAAACAAGGGAGAAAAGCAGGATAACGGAATAGCCATCACGTGACCGGAAGCAAGCACCTGCCGCAATGAAATGTATTTCCCTTAATACATATTACATTATATTAACTCTAAAGTATTCTATCATAAACGTCTACCTGCATATGCTTCTATTTTGACAAAGTTGAAGGGTTATTTTGACGGAGGATTACAAAACGCACACCCAATACATTTTTTATTCAAGTATGATATTAACGAGGGAGAAATATTCCAACAATAATATGAAACCAAAATTTTGACAAAGGAGTTATTTCAAGTACGAGTCTATACATTCACGAATGCTTCATATATACCAGCCGAAATCTTTAGTAAACGAAAATATTGTGAGCATTGGCACCGGTAAAACATTGCATACGGGATGTTTCAATATATTACAATATAATTTGCTCTTTTATTCTTATAAGAAAATCAGAGACCATATATATACCGACAACGTATTGTGACCTGGTGTGAGAACAATTATCTAATGTTAAATGTTAGGAAAACAAAAGAACTTCAGGAAAAATCAAAGCATTACAAGGCCTGTGTGTATCAATGGTGACGATGTGGAAGTAAGAATAAATAAGTAAATATTTTGCATAATTTTTAAAGCCATTTTTGCATAAACATAATGAAAACATATTGATATTACTAATGCATAGAATGTTTCCAAAATATTTATTCTTTTATTCTTTTTCTTACGAGAGTAACTTTTCACCATGCTATTCAGTTCCTTAAATACCTGCCTGCTATTTTCTCTCTTACCCAATACAATGGTTCTTGTAACCCCCAATTTTCAGCAAATAGTAAATAGTTTTACATTATTTTAAAAGTAATTTTTATATACATAATGCAAACATTTTGATATTACTAATGCATAGAATGTTCCTCTATCAGAGCACGCAAGAAAACACAAAAACTATTCAAGGCTATGCGTTGTTATTTTCACGTCGCCTAATGTCTTTACGAATATGTCGATAGTCATGACGAAAATAGTCCATGGTCAAAAGTCAACACAAGCTTCATACAATGCGTGTGTAATGACAGGCCTCCATCGAACAAATGTATAAGACGCGTATAGGTCGCTGCGTGGAGCTCAAAACATTCCAAAACACCTTCCAAAAATAGAACGAAACGTGGAGATGTTTATTCCGGGTATGGCGTGCCCGAACATGTTGGTGATCAGTTGTAGGGCGGAGATGAAAGGACGAATGTACACTTTAATGAATGAATATTGTACGGAATGAATGACCTTGAGGATCAGCTCAAAGAAAAGGTTTCGCCACGAGAAATTAAAGAACTAAAACGACACATCGTACCCCAAGCGTCACAGTTGGACCGTCTACAAAACAGCATCAGTACCACTAAAAATGGTATAATTGGAAATAAGTTTATAGTCCATAGCCAATAATGGAATCTAACAAGAATGATGCCGCAACATGTGAAATGAAATCAAAACCCCAAAGTTACGTAATATTTGACACGGAGACGACAGGCCTCCCTGGGCCGTACGGAAACCCGAAGATTACCGAGCTCTGTCTGCTGGGTATACACAGAGATGACATGTTTGAAGATGGAGTGGCCGTCCCTCGGATTGTCAACAAGCTGCAGCTTTGCCTCAACCCAAGAAAACAAATGTCTCCTGGTTCAAGCATGTTAACAGGTGACGTTTTGAATTCAGGTTTCAGAACAAACGTCTGAATTCAGGATCGTTTTTGATTATCCCCTGTTTAATCACAAGTCTCTTGAAAAATCCAGGAGCATTTTCCTCAAAATTTAGTTTTCAAATTAATGTTATGATCTCTGCCAGAAAATGTGCTCTCGGGAGTATATGGTACATTTTGATTTTGATTTGTTTTTGTTTTATGCTACGCTCCATATTCCATATACCTGTGAAGATCCGGGTTGGAATTAGTCTTCAGTATCCTATGCTTGTCGTAAGAGGCGACTGACAGGATTGGGTGGTAAGGCTCGCTGACTTGGTTGACACATGTCATCAGGTCCCAATTGTGTAGATTGATGCTCATTCTGTTGATCACTGGATTGTCTGGTCCAGACTTGATTATTTACAGACTGCCACCATATTGCTGGAATATTGCTGAGCACACTAAATTATCCACTCCATGTTCCGTATATGATGGCAGTATGTGATTAGCATGTAAACCAGACAATCCAGTGATTAACATCATCAGCATTGATCCACGCAGTTGGGATATGACATTGACAATACTTTATTACCTGTGTAAAGTACAGAGCTCAAACATTGATAAAATGATTAAATTATTTTCATATACTAAATAACACACATATAACACGCCAACAAGGTAAGACAAACACTAGGAATCATTTAAAAGATTAATACTGGCGAGAACAAAGGATTTCATGGCACAATTGGATTTAAAACAGTGTAAACTATAACAGCGCCCAGAAGGCAGTAATTTATACTCATAGTGGATAGGATGATCTGGATCAGATATAATCTTGACTTCAGAACTCTTTCTTCATATCAGTTAGGTTAGCAAAATATACACCTGCAATTTTACTGACTAATAAAATGATTCTTGTGAGACAGTTTCTGTTTTGAAGGGACAAGGTTCCATACCAGCATTGTACAGAAACAAACAGAACGCTCTGTATAAGCACTGATTGAAAAGACACAATTGATTGATTAACATTGAAAGATCTCAGTTTGTGCAAGAAGTGTAACCTTTGTTGACACTTCTTGAATATAGCATCTGTGTTAACATTAAAATTCAGTTTGTTATCAATATATGTACCAAGATACTTATATTCAATGATTCATTAACGGTTTCAACAGGTTCATTGTTAATGATATGATCAGCTGATGATGGCATATTCAACCATGTCAGATCATTGAGTCTGACTACCCAAGCCAGGGCTTCAGTAGCCTACCTGGTACTTGTTATCCTCTTGTCATGCTGAAGACACAAAGTTTCATTCCCCACATTTGTACAATACATGAATACCATTTCTCTCTCACCCTCACTAATACAAAACAAACAATGAATTTGCCTTCAATATTCCTTTTGACATGATTAATGTTCTTTTTAGGTTATTTGTTAGTTGTTTAATCATGGAAAGTTTTAAGAAGTATGATGTTGGTCTCTGAATCATCAAGTCTGGACCAGACAATCCAGTGATAGACATCATGAGCATCGATCTACACAATTGAAATACAATGACATGTGTTAACCAAGTCAGCGAACCTGACCACACTATTGTAAACCTGGTATTCACTGGTACCTTTGAGTCCTTTGAGCCCTTTGTGCACATCACAGTGTAGAGATACGTTTTCATCCTTTGAAGTCACCATGAGAATATGTTGATGTGACGATTAGATGTATCAAGTGAACATTTAAAGTCACATTGGCTGTATTTCAACAATACTGTAATTGGATTACCAATTATACCAGGGATTTACATGGAGTCCTGTATTTGAGGGTCCCTGGGACTCGTACTCTTAATTTTCAGGGGTCCTGGACAACAAAATGGGGGTCCTAGACACTTAAATATTATTATTAATACTGTCATATTATTGTGTATCTTGATCATCATATTGTTACAGTAATTAAATTGCAAATAATACCATAACCCAGCTAGTAGCAAACTCAGTGATAACTTATTGTCACTTGATTGGAATTTTTACAAAAAAGTATTTGGACTTTTTCTGAGTCCCTGTGGATGTGCTAATAAATTTTGTTGCATCCATTGTCAATTTTATGAGTATAGGACGTAGGAATTCACATCCTGTAAATCCCTGATTATACAATCTGACATTCATCTAAATTATTATCTTTGCAGGTTTGTTCAATGATGCACTTGACAGACAACAGCCATTCAATAGTGAAACAGTAGCAGTGATTAGAGGATTTCTGCAAACACAAGCACAGCCAACATGTTTGATTGCCCACAATGGCGACAAGTTTGACTTCGCTTTACTGGCTGCACAGCTGCGGAAGGTGAATGAAACCTTGCCCGATGACATGCTATGCGCAGATTCATTATTAGCCTTCAGGGAAATAGATCCTCCAGCTGACAGACCAAGGTCACCAGCTGAGGTTAGAGGTCAAACCTGGGAAATCTCTGAGGTTACACCTGGTAAAAGACAAAACTCGGATGAGCAGTTACATATTCCAAAGAAGCCCAAAAAAGATTTTGACAAGACCCAGTCTCTTTTTGAAAATATCAGGCGGGAAAAAGCTGCCCGACAACTGTATAAAGATGAAGCTAATTCAAGTGTAGCAGACGACAGGGTGAGTCTGGACAAAGCAGACTGCCTTTCAGAAAACAATTATGTAGAGGCATCTTCTTCTTTTAAAACATATTCTAAATCTTCAGTTCCCACCGTTCCTGTTTCGAGGAATGTTTCTAATATGATGCCCAAAGAGCAAAAAGAAGTAAGTGTTCTTTCAAGTTGTTCCAGTCAGTCTCAAGACACTTCTGTCACTCTTCACAATGTCAGGTCTGACAAAATGGCTTCGGAGACAGAAAACAACACAAACAGTGCCCATTCCACCATCTTGTCTGAAGACACACCAAACCCCCAGACTCACAACATGTGTAATAGAACAGGTTCGGAAGCAGGTCAGCAACCGACCCCCTTGAAGCCAGATGCAGTAACTACTCAACTTCACATACGTGTATCTAAACAACTAATGACTCGGACACAAAACCGCAGCTGGACTCCCAAGGAAGTTTTCTGGATGAGGATTTACTGTTGGCCATAACACAGATGGAGGCCGACAATGGAAGGAACCATAGTTCCATGGAAAAAGGGACTCTGGTAGACCTACTCCTGGTTTAAGTCATGCAACACCCCTGAGAAGTTCTGGTGCACAGAATCCCAATATAGGATCCTTGGGCAGTTCTGATCCACAAAATCTTATTATAGAACCAATGAGAAGTTCTGATACAATGAATTCAAATATTGGACCAATGAGCAGTTCTGATACAATGAATTCAAATATTGGACCAATGAGCAGTTCTGATACACAGAAACAATCAACAGGCCAGACTAGTTCTGATACTCTGAGCATTGATACGGTGCCCTCTGAGTCAGATCCAGAGAACATCTTTGTTCTGATAAGTAGCCAAGAATCTGTCCAATTACACCAGTCCAAAGATTCTGATGAAGATGAAAAAGAATCCCAGTCAATTCTTGCAGGTTTTCATCAGCCAAGGCTTAATTCTGAGGCCACAGTCATATATGAGCTTCCTGACAAAAAAGCTTCAAGTGAACTCAGCTCACAAGGAAGTTTCCCTGATGCTGAATTTATTGAAGCTGTTCAGCATATGGAGAAACGGGATGAAAAGACAAGGGTTATTTGCCAGGCTGGAGATAAGGACTTCTCTCTTGTCAATGCCAGCAGTCAAGAGGTCAAGGTCAGTGACAATGATTTCAAGAACAGTAATTTTGTCAGAGATAGAAACCATAATTGTTCTGTGGTTGAACGTAAGCAGAATGGAGCAGCCAGTTCTAATAGCTCATCAAGCAATAATGTGATGCCGAAAAGTGTCCAGCGAAAGAGACCTACCGATTACAAGATGTATACACCAGATGTTTTGGTCGCCCTCCGAAAGTGGCACATACTGCAGAAGATGATTGTATTGCATTGCTGAAAATAGTGAAAAAATTCACACCACAGTTCCTTGACTGGGTCGATGAACATTGTGTCCTGTTTAATACAATACCACCAATGTATTAATGTGGTACATGTGTGTAGCGGCCATTAAATTTCCAAGCACCGTGAGATTCAACCCAGCGACCATCTGATCCGAGGTTATCGGCAGATGCCTTGTCCACGAGACCAAAGAGGTGTTCCTCATCAGCAGGCTGACATGGTAAGGATGTCGTCTGTGGGATGACTCTACACGCTGTTACATGTGCAATACCCAGAGATGGGCATTATAGCAGTTGTTACAATTAGGACTGCAGGGTATAGCAGGGCAAGTGATTTTACATGTGCCACTGTACCGATAGTACACTAGCAATTTTAAAGTTATTTCCACCCTGGTATTGTTACAATATTAGGACTGCAGGTTATTACTGTATTACTGGTATACTGCACAATATTACCGGCTGACAATATTACTGTATACAATATTACCGGTATACTGCACAATATTACCGTATTGCAATACTCTTTTCAGACAATACCTATTGTATTATTTTTCTGAGAACCTGTATATTGGGTAAAGAACATCTATGAAGTTGTTGTGATTATCTTTATGGTCTAAACTAAAATCTACACAGACTTTCATTCACAATAGATGATTTCCTTCGTTATTCAATGACAAAAAGGCATACTGTAAGTGTAATACTATAAATTGTATTAAAAAAGAAACTAGAATCCTTGATTATGCAACCTAATTTTGAGATTACTGATATCTGAACCATAACACATATGTTTAGGGGCTTATAATGCAGAAAATAGGATCGCCATGTACCATCAACCGCCAATTAGTGTCACATACTGTCAAACACTTAAGTTCTTAATATATCGCAATGTGTATTGCAGTATGGGTATCTGAATCATGGTACTAGTTTATTACAATACAATTTATTTGTCAGTACACAGCCCTAGTTACAATGTTGCATGATTTTGTTTGATTTTTAATGGTTGTATACTCTTAAAAATATGTACGGAACTTCATTTATAATTTACGATTGAAAAAATTGGGATATATATCGGAGTCAATCAATGTTGATATGATAATGAGTGTTTTGAGAGTGCATCACCACTTGCACTTCCTTATGACCATAGTTGTTTGTACAGTAATCGCTCTTGAAAGATGATTGGTGTATGACGTAAAATTTGCATGGGTACGAATTTCATTTTCAAACAAAAAAGAACGGCTAGAAACAAACACTAACAACTGCGTGATGCAAGATGATTGTCAAAATTAATGGTCTACAGTGATTTATGGACCTTCTTGAAAACTGTCAAAATCAAGAATGACACTATGATGTGCATCCCATGCATTGTGTGTAGGGATGGTGATTAAGGTGGTGCGTACATGACATAAGATGTCTATCTTTGAAAAGTTTGTTAACGCATATACTTACTATCCAAATTGAAAGTTCAGGATCCCTGCGCGAGCACTATGATGTTTTGCATGAAATTTGTTTTACCCAGCCCCTGGCTAACAGAGTATTGATGTCTGCATTTTTTTCTCTTTTAATACAACTTTAAACCTAATAATGCAAATATTCAAGTAAAATTCCAGTAAACATGATGAGCTTATTGGTTCAGAAGGCGGAATATTTTAGTTCGATCCCCAGGTCATGTCACTCCAAATGAGTTAGATGAAGGTACTTTTTGTTACCTTGCCTGGAGTTCAACATAAGGGGTTAAAACAAGAGTGAGTGAGTGAATTTAGTTTTATGCCGTTTTTAGCAATATTCCAGCAATATCATGGCAGGGGACACCAGAAATGGGTTTCACACATTGTACCCATGTTGGGAATCGAACCGGGTCTTTGGTGTGATGAGCGAATGCTTTAACCGCTAGGCTACCCCACTGCCCCTAGCTTTATCATGGCGTACTAAAAATATAAAAGGAAGTACACATCTGGTGTTTTTCTAGTGTTTAGATTGTGACTAGCACAGCACAAAACATTGGGCAGGTGTGCCGGAAGCCAAGAACACAAGAGGTGTCAGTACAATGTCTGAATGGCATATCCATGTTTGGTTCTGCCATGGTATCACATCAGACCAGCATCAGTCTGTACCAATTCCAGGATGTTGGTATATATAGTCCGTTTGGCTCAAAAGCGGACCGATGAATTGCGATCTAACTCGAAAACTAATAAACATAAAATACTCAATGAAACACTGATCATAATCAAAACCTCAGACCAACTCTGTGAGGTTTTTGCAGAATTTAGGTCCTAAAATTAAAAAAGTTGTTTAACAAACTATCATTAAAATATTGACACAGTTCACATTTGGTTACGGGGGTGGAGTGCAGAGAAAGGGACAGCCAGGTGTTCGAGAAGCAAGTGCCGACAACGTTGTTGATTCATTAACCTGTGATGTGCCGTCTCCATCCTTTCTCGCACACCTGGCTGTCCCTTTCTCTGCACTCCACCCTCGTAACCAAACGGACTATAAGTGCTGTAATGTTTAGCATAGTGTGAGATATCTTATAGGACATGCTAGGTTAAGCTGAAAATAGAATATGTAGGTATTGTTTTATCTCTCATCAGTCCTAGATCTGGCGTAACATTGGTGAGAACTCAGGAATGAATTTATTTGCTTGATTCGAGGTATAAAACAAATTAATAAATTGTCTTGATAGATTTTTTTTGTACTGATAGTGTACTGATGATCTAGGATGGTGTGGAGCTAAGCTGATATTGTTGTATTTACACCAGATATGTATTCTTGGTACATCTTCATTGTTACAATGTTTTTGGAAATTTTAATACATTTATCTGTAAATCAAATTGTTTTAGAAGAATATTTTATGTCTGTACAATATATTGGTAATGTATTTACTGTACATTTAGAATGTAGTCAACCTCTGTATCTCCAGGGGCCGCCTCCATGGTGTAGTGGTTAGAGCGTCCGCCCGGAGAGCGGAAGGTCGCGGGTTCGATCTCCGACCGCGTCATACCAAAAGACGTTTAAATATGGTACTTGTTGGTCCCTGCCTGGCGCTCGGCATTAATGGGTACAACAAGGACTGGTCGGCTCGGAGTCAGTATAATGTGTCTGAGTGGGGTATTCATGCTTCACTGCGGCATGGTATCTCAGTGGGCTAGCACTATAAAACCAGCTTCAGTCTGGGCTAGTACAAGCAGCCGCACATACACATACACACGCATGCATGCACGTCGTCATATGAGCGAAATATTCTCAAGCACGACGTTTAACCCAATTTCACCTCACCTCACCTCACCTCACCCCTATCTCCAGGACTCAGGTAAAACTACACAAACTGTCAATAGGAGTGTGGGTAATTTATGATCACAAGAACCATGGGAGTTGATCCAGGGTTTAGTGTAGGTTCACTGAAACACTTGCCCTGGCGATACAGAGGATGAGATGCAGTATATTGATATCCCGCCGTGATATTGCTGGAATATTGCTAAAAGCGGCGTAAAACCATACTCACTCACTCACTCACTTACTCAGTATATTGATATATATATATATAGGTACGCTTTTGTTCCTGTAAATGTTTTCTTAAGGTGTTATTTATATAGAGTTATTGATTATATTTATAATAATAATATAAAAGAGATGGTTTAGCTATGTTTGTTTATTGTGTTTTCTTGTGCCCCAAAGGGGATTCTGGGTCAGATTTCCCACCAACCAATGCTTATCATTTTAAATGAGCCACAAAATCGGGGTGAGAATTGGCCTTCAGCAACCCATGCTTGTCATGAGAGGCCTCTAATGGGATCGGTGTTTGGTTGAGTTTACACATGTCATCTCATTCCACATTCATTGCGTGGATCGGTGCTCATGTTGTTGCTCACAGGATTGTCTGGTCCAGACTCGTTTATTTACAGACCGCCGCCATATAGCTGGAATCAACAAACAAACAAAACAAACTGGCATGTTATGGTAATGCCATAAATATTATTTATTTGACTGCTTTGAAGGCCATATTGAAAGATCAAATCCGAACCCCTTGCAAAAGAAGTAAGTCGCTATCATTGGTTTCAACAATCAAGCTGGTGTCACTGGTTTCTGATGACCGCCTCCGTTGTGTAGTGGTTAGAGCGTCCGCCCGGAGTGCGGAACGTCGCGGGTTCGATCCCCGACCGCGTCATACCAAAAGACGTTAAAATATGGTACTTGTTGGTCCCTGCCTGGCGCTCGGCATTAATGGGTACATCAAGGACTGGTCGGCTCGGAGTCAGTATAATGTGTCTGAGTGGGGTATTCATGCTTCACTGCGGCATGGTATCACAGTGGGCTAGCACTATAAAACCAGCTTCAGTCTGGGCTAGTACAAGCAGCCGCACATACACATACACACGCATGCACGTCGTCATATGAGCGAAATATTCTCAAGCACGACGTTAAACCCAAATTCACCACCACCACCACCACCACTGGTTTCTGAGAAGAGGATTCACTGGCACCCCGACCGACGTGCTGCAGCAATACCAAAGCCGATTAAACATTACTTGAGTCCTATCAGGACCTGTGGTTTCACCGATGCTGATCGACCGACCATTAAATATCCTCGGTTGCTTGGAATTGTGACGGAGACGGGGCCATTTTTCTACCATAGCTTCCAAACATACACATTTTGTGTCAGAAAGGAGTCTCACCTATTTATTTTCACAACGCAGTTGTAGAGATATTTCGCTTGGCCATCAAAGATTTCTTGTTCGTCGAAATGTTCGTCGCTGAGGTATTTTACGTACGACTCTTAGCTTTGCGTCATCTGATAGACCTCGAACCCGGGCCTTAGGCGTGACGAGCGAACGCCTTCACCTGCAGGCTATCTCCGATTCGTTGTGAACTACTTCCTAAGAATATATAACTCTGTATGACCTGATGATTAGTCATAGGCTGTCGTGAAATTACGAGAAATAACCTTCCGGGTAAAAAGAAAGAACACATTTGAAAATTAAATTTAACCAAAAGTTATATACGTCATGAAAACAACTTGGCAAAAGCAGCCTCCGAAAATTCAGGTCCAAACCCAAATGTGATACCTGTTTCAAGTACACCACAGTCAAATAACCATTCCTTGTTTGTGTCATCTTAGCGGTGGTGGAATTGGGTTTAACGTCGTGCTTGAGAATATTTCGCTCATATGACGACGTGCATGTGTGTGTATGTATGTGCGGCTGCTTGTACTAGCCCAGACTTAAGCTGGTTGTATAGTGCTAGCCCACTGAGATACCACGCCGCAGTGAAGCATGAATACCCCACTCAGACACATTATACTGACTCCGAGCTGACCAGTCCTTGTTGTACCCATTAATGCCGAGCGCCAGGCAGGGACCAACAAGTACCATATTTTAACGTCTTTTGGTATGACGCGGTCGGGGGGCGGACGCTCTAACCACTACACCACGGAGGCGGTCGTCATCTTAGCGACAATTAAACATGGATGTAAAGTTCTTTGTCCGGCACCGTAAATTTACAGTAGGCGATGGGAAGGCTGAAAACATGAATTCACGTCTAAAGAAATTTATTTCAGAAAATACATCACAAAAGTAAAACCACTCAACAATGAAAATTTTTTACAATACGTTTATGAATTGAAAAGGCTCATCTTCAAGCCGATGACATGACATACTCTCATCCGCAGGGTTTCCACTGTTATATATTTGTTAGAAAATCACGTAAACTCCAAATAACTATTTTCACTTTCATAGAATAATTTCTTTGTTGGCGTCTAACGCCGCACTCATCATTCCTGTCGTCGCTGGCTAGTAAAATTTCATCTGAATGATAAGTTGCCAGTGGTCCTGGTGGCCGGTGAATTTAAATCTACGAATGTTATTCTGGACCAGTGAAGTACAGACAGGACCACTAATTATTGTCCTCTCAATGTTCCTGTGGTTTAGTGGTAAATTTTGAAAGTTTTCTTTGTCTAACCCCTATCGGATACGATGTACCGGAATGGAACGTAACTCGACTGACTTACTAAGCTAGCTACGAACACGAACAAAATGTCATCTAAACCTAGCTTTTTTCGGACATATATGTTACAAAACTACCAATGACATAATGGAAGCATATTGTGTATATGCAAACTCAGTGTTACAATCTTTGACGACATTTAGAAGTGAGGCAGTCTGGACCAGACAATCCCGTGACCAACAGTATCGATCTACGCAATTGGGATGTGATGTCAACCAAACCAGCGAGCCTGACCACCCGATCCCGTTAGTCGCCTCTTACGACAAGCATACGTTGCTGAAGATCAATTCTAACCCGGATTTCCACGGGTCACGTGTACCTACAAAGTTACCAACTTTCATTCACCTGACGAAGGAGTAAGAATATACCAAGAAACGTCTTGCATGATACAGAAGTTGACATCCATTACTTAAAGTTGTCACTCAACGACCATTAACTTGCTGTCCCAAATCTGTTCCACAACATATAAAAGGCTTTAAAAAACAAATCAATCGTCAATACTTCATTGATTTATATAATAATATATACGACAAAACCATGTATAGGAAATTTCATCCATAAACAGTCAAAGGTACAATTTTGAGTGTATAGGCTAATGAGTGAGTGAGTTTGATTTTATGTCGTTTTTAGCAATATTCCAGCAATATCACGACAGGGACACCAGAAATGGGCTTCATACATTGCAATTACATCCATCCCACCGGTTGCACAAACGCATGCACAGGCAAGTCAATTGTTCACCTGAAAAAACTTTGCACGTTGCGTCCGACGTCATTTTTGTCCCCGATAGATCAGGTTTTGGAGTAGCCTTCACAATCGTTTCTACTTTGGCCTTTTTGAAAGCACTACTGATGCCTTGATGTTGTCACCTTAAGAGTCATGAGAAGCCTTTTGTAGTCTTGGTAGAAGGAACATTTTCGGCTGTTGAGAACTGTAAACACCAAACGAGCTTTGGAAAGTTTGCTCGACCTGATGGGAAAGTTGACCATCGGAAAGTTGAAGTCATCCCTCTTGTTATAGAGTCTTGCGGATAATGTCACCCTGGATGTCTGTGCATAGATCTAAATACGAAACAGTGAGTGAGTATGGTTTTACGCCGCTTTTAGCAATATTCCAGCAACATCACGGCAGGGGACACCAGAAATGAGCTTCACACATTGTACCCATGTGGGGAATCGAACCCGGGTCTTCGGCGTGACGAGCGAACGCTTTAACCACAAGGCTACTCCTAAATACGAAACAGACGAGGCGGTATCACTGTTCTCTTGTATTTCCAGTTCAGGTGTAAAAGTGGCTATTGATGGTTATTGATGGTTATTAAAAGCAATTAAACAGTGTAACTCCCTGGCCAAGATGACACTGACTCGTCTTTTCCAATCCGAGCAGACGTTCTGATTCACATGCACAAAGAAACAAATCAGCTAGCAAGCACAGTTGGTCCCAGTGGGGTGTAGACACTACTTCCTTGGAAACACTTTTGAATACATCTGCCGCTTTTTAGTGTAGCCGATAATGTTTACCAACGAATCAAACCACGACCAGGGTCCACCGACACCTACGATTGCTCATTCCAGTGACCAACTCAGTTCACAACAATCAATCGGCAGTGGTTTCCGCTTGACTTCGCGTGCAGCACGTGCAGCACGTGCCATAGCGCAGGGCTGAGTACTCTGCACATTGCTTTAATGTTAGGCAATGGTCGGGTTCGCACGAAGTTCCTGCACGGGCACTTTGCTTTCCTCGAGTAATACATGACATTCCATGAGCTGACTAAAAATAGACAAGCGTCAGTACTCCCACCCATATCGACCCAGTCTAAACACTGTGAATGGAAATGTATTCCTATCCTTGAAGAATTTACGACGCACCAACCACCCACTGTGCAGTATGTAATGAGTCACTGACGTTACCTGACCATGTTGAATGTCATAAGGTCAGTTCAGGTAGCCTCGTGGTTAAGGCATTCATCTATGGACTCATAGATTCGGGTTCAATTTCCAAGTCCAGTGTTCCCCGCCATGTCACGACCGAACACATCATGCTCAGTCACACACACTCAACACTCAGAGTGGGACTGGTTTCATAGAACGATCCCAGCCTTTTATCGCCATCAATAAATGTGTAATGTTGAAAATAGTTCCGCAGCAAGCCATCACTGTCGTCGGCTGAAATGGGCCGGTTGTTCTTTTGCAGCACTTTAACTGATATCGTGCCACTCTTTCCCCGAGGGGTGAGTGAGTATGGTTTTTGCGCCGCTTTTAGCAACATTCAAGCAACATCATGGCAGGGGACACCAGAAATGGGCTTCACACATTGTACCAATGTGGGGAATCGAACCCTGGAAATCGAACCCTGGCTTTCGGGCGAACACTTTAACCATAAGGCTACCCCACCGCTCCTTTCCCCGATGGCGTTTGTTATCGCTGATAATTTCAGGCACAAGTCTGTTGGATACAAATTGGTGTTGTTGAAACTGCGGCGTTAAAAATATTCAAGCGCTGATCAAAATGTATATTAAAGTGACCAAATACATCTGATTTTCCTTCCTTTAGCTGGTCCTTCCGTCTATATTACATCAATGGTGTAGCATGGGTTTTATGTACTAAACTTTGCCGTTTAATATCCTTGCACTTTCACTTCAATGGTTTGGAGCATAATGAGACCAAACAAAATATTTGTTATCATTACGCCTGCGCTGAAGAAAACAAAACATGTGATATCCACGCACCTTGCTACTTGCTGCCACGTGATCCTGACCTCCGAACTCAAATCATTTCTGACCTCTGAGTCAAGGTCTTCTGTAACAGGAGCTTCCGGTGTTAGGTTCTCGTTCCGCTTTTCCTCACCGTTTCCACATCCGGGGCTGTCACACAAGGTCAGGGGACGATTGTGCAGACATTGCTGTTCGATGGGAGACACTTTGTTTACGGACATCTTCAATCGTTTGCACAGCATACACCTGACCCATACCTTGATGAATCCAGGTATTGGGATATGATCGGGTCTGTGGTGGACGTTGAGGACGGCGATGGATGCCAACAGGGACAGTCCACTCATGCCGGTCAAGGATGAGATGAAGATGACCAGGAAGGGGGTTTGCAGGGATGTTACTGGTAACTTGACGCCAGTCCCTGACAGGAACACAAAGAACGCCAGCAGAACGGTGATGCAGAGTCCAATCTTCTCTCCAGAATCCACCGGAAGTAGAAACACCAGGACGCTGACGATGGACAGGAGGATGGCGGGCAAGAGGACGTTCACGATGTAGTAGACAGGACGACGTTTGAGATCCAAGTAAACGAATATTTCAGGTAAAGCATTCGTGTCACCCGATTCCAGCAACTCCGTTGTCACATTTACAATTTCCCATAATCCATTTGGAGTGTTCGTAGCTTTCGGAAAACTGTTGGCAACAAACGAAATATCCTTTTCTGTAGATGAATAAGTAGACACTACAATTTTGCAAATTTGTTGGTCGAAGGGAAAGTAGGTAACGTCAATTTGACATGACAAGGTGAAGAGACCCGATGGTTGCCAAGCCACCATCCCTGTATGTTCGACCAGCAGTTTCATCTCATCAAAACCTAGGATTCCTCGTTTATTCATTGTATTGGTTATCACGATGTCCGGCAGCCAGACCTTCTGTTGTTCCACCTCTATGTTCCTGATGCCATCATAAACATCGGGGTCCCACTGTAAAGATGCATCGTGCCACACCAATTTGAACATTCCGTTCAGTGCTATGGACTGCTCAACCTCTTTCAGTTCCACCAGAGAGAAGAGGACAAAACCTATATTCACATGCGTTGGTTCAGCGTCAGTCAATACCGGTCGTATTTGAGAGTTATAACCGTCAAGCAGATCTTTGTAGATGGTCTTCCGAATGGCCAGTGAACCTGCATGTATTTCTGTAACAAAGATCGCAACTAAAACGATCGTCTTGAACGATTCCATGATGGTTCTGAACACGCGTCATCCGTCCAGGTCTCATCAACTCTGTCGAGTAAATATTCAGACGATCTACTTATTTCCAAAGGGTTGCTGTGAGGGAAAACCATCGCCAGCGTTATCAATAATTCTGTAAGTCTTTTAAAGCGTTACGGTTAACGTGGTCAGAATTCACCTCAGGGGAGCACTGTAAATTGATGTATATATTATTTATGGTTTCTTTTGAGACGTGGTCACGTTTACTTTGGTGAACGTGATGTAGAGTTGTGTATTTGAATAATTTCGTATGTGCAGGCTTAAGAGTCAACATGACCGTGAGAAATGATTTACGGTTTCCAAAGTGAGATATATTTATAGGAATGGATACAGAGGTTATGACGTCTTAAGATGCCGGTTAGAACTGGTCTTCAGCAACCCATGCATGTCGTAAGATGCGAATAACGGGATCGGGTGGTCAGGCTCGCTGACTTGCTTTGACACATGTCATCGTATCCCAGTTGTTTAAATCGATGTTCTTGCTGTTGATCACAGGATTGTCTGGTCCTGACTCGATTATTTACAGACTGCCACCATACAGCTGGAGTATTGTTGAGTGCGGCGTAAACCAAAACTCACTCCATATTCCATATATGATGGCAGTATGTGATTAGCATGTGAACCAGACAATCCAGTGATTAATATCATGAGCATTGGTCCACACTTTGGATATGATGGTATATTCAACCATGTCAGATCATTGAGTCTGAGTCTTGTCCAATATACCAGCACTGGCTTATCCTTGCTCTGGCACACTCGAATTGTATGAGGGGCGGTGGAGTAGCCTAGTGGTTAAAGCGTTGGCTCGTCACGTCGAAGACCCGTGTTCGAATCCCCACATGGGTACAATGTGTGAAACCCATTTCTGGTGTCCCCCCGCTGTGATGTTGCTGGAATATTGCTAAAAGCGGCGTAAAACCAAACTCAGTCAGTCAGTCAGTCGAATTGTATGATTAAAAACGTTCCTTTTATTCCAAAATATGTTTAACTAACTGAACTAATTTCTTCTCAGCTTTTCATCATTTGTTTGCAAATAAACAAATTTAAATTTTAGAACACTATGAAAATAATCCGTATCGATAAAAGTGGTTTAAATTCTGTTGATAAATTCCACAATAAATCTACTGGAAATATTCAGCTAAGATCGTAGTGTTTGGCAATATTCAGCAGTATCACGGCGGGGATCAGAAATAGTGTTTCGAACCCGGGTCTTCGGCATTTATTTCCTAAATACCCCACCTCCCCAAACAATCTGAAACCTTATGAACTGAAATAGTGTGGGCAGTTTATATGTGTTCACCATATGGGATATAAATTCAATATAACCATTAAGAATGCCATATCCACAATATCTAGAGATGGATTTCTAATCATATAGCAACCTCGTATAAACATATTAAAGCCCGGGTGAATTCAGAGTGAGAGGGGTTAATCGATGTTCATGCTGTTGATCACTGGATTTTCTGGTCCAGGCTCGATTATTTACATACCGCCACCAATAGAAGGAATACCGCTGAGTGCAGCGTTAAACAACAAACCAACACTCACTCACTCACTCTCACACATCCACTCCCATATTCATTTACATTGACCACCTCCGTGGTGTAGTGGTTAGAGCGTCCGCCCGGAGAGCGGAAGGTCGCGGGTTCGATCCCCGACCGCGTCATACCAAAAGACGTTAAAATATGGTACTTGTTGGTTCCTGCCTGGCGCTCGGCTTTAATGGGTACAACAAGGACTGGTCGGCTCGGAGTCAGTATAATGTGTCTGAGTGGGGTATTCATGCTTCACTGCGGCATGGTATCTCAGTGAGCTAGCACTATAAAACCAGCTTAAGTCTGGGCTAGTACAAGCAGCCGCACATACACATACACACGCATGCATGTCGTCATATGAGCGAAATATTCTCAAGCACGACGTTAAACCCAATTTCACCTCACCTCACCTCATTTACATTACTGACTTATTTCACACATCAACCCATCCATCTAACTACTCATTTAAACGTCCATCCACTCACTCATTCACTCACTTGCCAATCTACTCTCTCTCTCATCCTTGGGCGGTGGGGTAGCCTAGGGGTTAAAGCGTTCGCTCATCACGCCGAAGACAGGAGTTCGATTCCCCACTTAGGTACAATGTATGAAGCCCATTTCTGGTGTCCCCCGTCGTGATATTGCCAGAATATTGCTAAAAGCGGCGTGAAACTAAATTCACTCACTCACTCAAAGTCAGAATCGGTCGTGAGGGACCTTTCCTTGTCGTAAAGAAATGGATTTTGTGGTGCCCTACTTCATAGCGTGCCAGCGTAACCTGTCGGCGTGTATTGTGACTCACATTATCAACCACCGGTTTGTCTTATTCGTTTTACTGAGAGCCGCTGTTGGCTACAAAATAGCTTGTCTCAACGTACTTTCATTTACCATGGATTTATGTAGTGTGTTTTAAGAAGAAAGTTAGGATTGATTAAGTGTTGTTTAACGCCGCACTCAGCAATATGAGAGTTATATGGCGGCGGTATGTAAATAATCGAGTCTGGGCCAGACAATCCAGTGATCAAATGCATGAGCACTTGTTCTGATCGAGACCTGTAGGACACGTCTTATGAGGTACGCAAGTGGAAATAGAAGCGACAAAACCCTTTCTACATCCATAAGAAATCTCTGAGTGAGTTTAGGTTTACGCCGCACTCAGCAATATTCCGGCTATATGGCGAAGGTCTGTAAATAATCGAGTCTGGACCAGGCAATCCAGTGATCAACACCGTGAGCATCGATCTTTGCAGTTGGGATACGATGACATGTGTCAACCAAGTCAGCGAGCATACCACCCGATCCCGTTAGTTGCCTCTCATGACAAGCATGGGTTACTGAAGACCAATTATAACCCGGATGTTTACGGGTCAAGAAAGTTAGGAATTTGAAGAGACAAGATGATCTTCTTAACCAGATTTGTTTACGTTGTCCGCCGGCCTGCCTTGCGGCTTATTTCAAAAGAAACATGCAAACATTGTCTTGATACTAATCAGACAGAGCTACAGATAACTTTTTGGGTCATTGAGTTATATACTGGCTTGTGTTCATCACAATTGGGTATCCTAATTTCCCTTGGAGTAAATATTAAATTGTACTCACCTCATTCAAACTCAACTGGGTATTTTGCCGTTTTCCATTAATTTTAAAAATATACAAAAGTTTTAATGTTAGTGTTTGTTATTTATATTTGATCTGTAATATGAGAAACGATAAGAAAGACTGCAAGTTGTCAAGTTCATGTCCTGAAACAGGGGCGGATACAGCTTTTTTAGAAAGGGGGGGTGCATACTATTGAGAAGAGGGAGGGTGCACATGTCATTTTCATCCGAGTTTCAATGGTCATTTAATAAACTTTCAGGACAAAAGGGGGGGTGCGCACCCCTGCACCCCCCCCTTCTGGATCCGCCTATGTGAAATAAAATCTCTCAGTATACCTCAGTTATTTTATTTATCCACCGGTACGCAAGCTAAGATTTGACATTTTCGTGTGTACGCATGTAAGATCAAATTTATTGAGTATTTACCCAAATTCAAGCGTACTTGTACACAATAGACTTAATAGGAATTGAATTTTCACATAAATATTTGCGTAATTTACACAGATACGCAACTTATCTGTACCTCTGGTAATCACATTTTGTGTCGGGTTTCAACACTGAGCATGTGAAAGCAAAAGACAAAACAAACAATGATGATATTATCAAATATATGGATATATGTATATTTATTCACGGTATGTTAGATAATAAGAAACAATGTGCAACTGACACATACGTACACTTATTGTAAACTCATCTGCCAAAGAAACAATTTAATTTATTAATCATTCCGACCCATGAAGATCCGGGTTAGAATTGGTCTTCAGCAACCCATGCTTGTCGTAAGAGGCGAATAACGAGATCGGGTTGTCAGGCTCGCTGACTTGCTTGACACATGTCATCGTATCCCAATTGCGTAGATGATGCTGTAGATGTTGATAACTGAATTGTTTGGTCCAGAGCTGTTTATTTACAGACCGACGCCATATAGCTAGAATATTGCTAAGTACGGCGTTAAACAACAAACCAACCAACCAAGCCAAACAACACCGAAGAAAAAAACCATGACATACATGGTTCATACTTCGTTCTTTACTTTCTGTGGTACATGCTGCGAGTCGGTCATACTATTAGGAGGGTTCATACTGGACTGACTGACTGACTGAGTTTGGTTTTACGCAACTTTTAGCAATATTCAAGCAACATCACGGCGGGGGACACCAGAAATGGGCTTAACACATTGTACCCATGTGGGATTCGAACCCGGGTCTTCGGCGTGACGAGCGAACGCTTTAACCACTAGGCTACCCCACCGCCCCGTTCATACTGGAAGGCATTCAACCATGGTGGCGTTCGTACTATTCAGACGAGTTTCAAACTCAAAGGGGTTCACTCGACGTGGTCATGGTGCTCGTTGCAGTGAAGGGGGCAGATTATATATTCACAACCTATAGACTTGTGTCGTTTGGAGTGGATCGATGCTCATGACGTCAACCACTGGATTGTCTGGTCCAGTTTGAAATATTTAGACAGTCTTCCTGTGGCTGGATTGCGGAGTTAAACAACTAAAAACTTACGAAAACATCCTAAAAACACAAACAAACAGAAATCACATTCATCTGGAAAAAATATCTACTCATGCTTTCAGTTACATCTTGCTAGACCATGCTACAAGGGCTTTGCGATAAATCACAAATGTATAGAAAATCATTTTCGCATTAAATCTTACATTGAATGCATAATAGTGAATAAATATGGCGAAACGCCACTTTAAACAGCATTTCAGTTCTATTGCGGCGTGTCACCTGGATATATCCGGAAGCCAGAACGTATGCAAACTGTATATGCAATAATTTGGCCAGCGGATCCTTTCATGCAGAAGGGACGTAACTCAGCTGGTCATCCATGTCATAAGAATGCGTTAAAAGTCACAGTCCTTCATTAGGAAAGACTCTGCACTGTCGTCTGAATGATCCGATTGTACTTTCTTGTACCGCTGGTCGACCTCTTCAGAGCAGTAACTGTTGGTAACACGAACACCGTACATCCCTCTCACAACGTAGTAGGTGACGACGTAGCTCACAACCATGAAGATGAGGTTGAAACAGAGATGCATGCCGAAGGCTGCAGCAGCAAATGCAACGTTTCTGTGATCATGGCGGTCATAGTTGGACGGATCTGAACCTGAAATATTTAACAAGTGCTAAGAGCGTTGTTGCTATGTGCCACTTATACATGTTTAAATAATGGAATGGTTTAGTTTACCTGTATTTGTAAATAGTACGAAGGGTTTTTGGCACTGTAGACTTGCTCTATATTCTATGGAATCCTAGAAGGGACATTGTCGCTAAGTCGCATTGTCGCGCTATGAAAACCATTTTTTTATTCTATCTAAGAAATCGATTCGACAAAGTGAGCAAGTGAGTGAGTTTAGTTTTACGCCGCACTCAGCAATATTACAGTATATATGGTGGCGGTCTGTAAATAATCGATTCTGGATCACACAATCCAGTGATCAACAGCATGAGCATCAATCTATGTATGTGGGATACGATGACATGTGTCAACGAAGTCAATGAGCCTGACCACCCGATCCCGTTAGTCACTTCTTACGACAAGCATGGGTTACTGAAGATCAATTCTATCCCGGATCTTCACGGGTATAATGCGACAAATGGCCAAAATGTCGCGTTGTGGTATTGTCACAGTTTGGTCAATTTTGACTTGTTTTTGTAAGGGGGCAATGCAACATAGCGACAATATCCCTTCTAGGATTCGAGGATATTCCCTGTCAACCAGTTTCTTGTTATGCAGTCTTTCGTGTACAAGCCAACCTTAGTCAGTATAGAAAACACAACGCGCCATTCATACTCGGTGAAGATCCTGGTTTCATCATGGTTCTTGATTCTCATTTATTGTAATTCTTATGAAAATTTCTCGCGTACTTTGGACTTGTGGCAGCGACTTTTATATGACGAGGCGGTACGTTTTTGGTTCGAGTCGGTGGTGTTGGGATGGAAAGTTTGTTTGGGGGGGGCGGCAGTAAAATGAGAAGGGTCGGTCGGGTGATGAAAAACACAGAAAATACTGCCCTATACAGAAGGAGGGGTAGGGATGTAAATTGGAGGCGGGGTCTTTAAATCTCCACCCTATTCTTGGTAAGAAAATTCTAATGACCTTTCTCCTGTGACCTACCTGGGAACTTGGTGTGATCGTACAGGATAAAGGCCACGTGCGAGAACCACGTGCCCAACGTCAACACGAAGTACGTCCTCACAAGAGCAGTGGCCACGCCCTTCTTCCACATCATCTCACAGAGGACCGTCAATCCCGTGGCCAGCATCACAGGAACAGGAAGCACATGGACTATCTCCTCTAGCGGCTCCTTGCCATGCATGTGGGCGTGGAAGTAGAAGCCGATGCCGTACCAGAAGAAGGCGATAGCAACTGTGAGGTAGTGAGTGCCGGCGGGGAGAGGGAAGTCGTAATACATGAGGAGATCGGTGATTCCGTGGATGATGAACATGCCGTAGATGGTGACGTGCTGCATGTAGATGAGGTTCATGAAGTTGCCTTCATCGTCTAGGAATTTTGCGCCGCTGTCTATCAGCTCCGCTAGGAATCCTGAAGAAGCGAAAGTGAGTGAGTGAGTGTATTTTTACGCCGCTTTTGGCAATATTCCAGCAATATCACGGCGGGGGACACAGGAATGGGCTTCACACATTGTACCCATGTGGGGAATCGAACCTGGGTCTTCGGTGTGACGAGCGAACGCTTTAACCACTAGGCTACCCCACAGCCAAAGGATGAGTGAGTGAATGAGTTTATTGACAGTAGGGGGTGGGGGTGGGGGTGGGGAGGCACTGGCCCATTATACATAGACAAGATACAGTATATTGCACCAGTGAGCGCCTGGAACATACATATATTATACACGTGATAACAGAAAACGTGCTCGTAATTTGAATGCCAATAATACATACTTTGCAAGCGATGATAATACATGGGTATTTTTGGGTGCTATCAAATGTTGAAATTTGTTTTCTGAGGGAAATGTATAATAATAAGCGGGAATAATAGCGCGTCTAAGTCCATCATAAAATGGGCATACTAAACAAAAGTGATACTCTGATTCAGTGTTTCTAACTACGTACAAAGGGCATAACCTGTCTTCCCTAGCTAAACCTATTTTCCTACATTCTTCGATTAATAATTTATGACTGGAGCAGCGGCGAGATGAAAGGGCAATACGGTACACCTTCACAGGTATACACGACAGGTAAACTTCAAAGTTTGCCTCATGTTTTATAGAGCGGTACAAAATTAGTTTATTATACTTATGAAGATCTTCAAACTTATGAGGGGGCGGTGGGGTAGCCTAGTGGTTAAAGCGTTCGCTCGTCACGCCGAAGACCCGGGTTCGAATCCCCACATGGGTACAATGTGTGAAGCCCATTTCTGGTGTCCCCCGCCGTGATGTTGCTGGAATATTGCTAAAAGCGGCGTAAAACCAAACTCAGTCAGTCAGTCAAACTTATGAAGATCTTCAAGGATGAGTGAGTGAGAGAGAGAGAGAGAGAGAGTAGATGGGCAGGTGAGTGAAAGACTGAGTTGGATGGACGAATGAGTGGGTAGATGGATGGGTGAAATGAGTGAGTGAGTGAATGAATAAGGGCTCTTGTACCACCAACCGTGATTATTTGAGAATAAACGATTGGTTGTTGGTGACTGAATGATTGGGATCCAGTGATCAACATCATGAGCATCTATCTTTGCAATTGGGATACGATGACATATGTCAGCCAAGCGAGCCTAACCACTCGATCCCGTTAGTTGCCTGTTACGACAAGAGTGAGTGAGTGAGTGAGTGTGGAATAGAATCACATTCATTCTGAGGCCAATTTATTCATAAATGGTTTAATGAGCTGTTGCCTCAACCTTAAGATCGGTAACTTGAAAATAAATTAATCCAATTTCAAATACATTTTTTTGTGCACCCACTCGTTTAAGACAAAAAGGCTTACCGTATTTCCTCTAGAATTAATTGGGGTGGCGGGGTAGCCTAGTGGTTAAAGCGTTCGCTCGTCACGCCGAAGACCCGGGTTTGATTCCCCACATGGGTACAATGTGCGAAGCCCATTTCTGGTGTCCCCGCCGTGATATTGCTGGAATATTGCTAAAAGCGGCGTAAAACTAAATTCACTCATGCACTCTATAATTAATTTATAACCTGGACTATTTGGGACCCAGGGATTATTGATCCTTTTGGTGACACGGTGGCAACTCGCCACCTTATCGACTCCCAAACTGTACAGTGTTACAAGAGGATACATTTGCAGGAAACGGCCATTATTAAGTGAAGGGACAAACCTGCGCATGTCAGAAGTTAATGTGATATTGACCTTCTGTTTCCTTACATGGTGGATCTCGCCTCTTTTGAAGACCCGATCCGGGCCCACATGCACAAAGTCATCTTAGCGCTATGATTATCGGAACTGCCACACTCTAATTTGGACTTACGAGAGTTGTAGCGCTGTGATCGCTTTGTGCAAGTCGGCCCTGGCTTCTATTTTTTCGACAGGTGGTATCAAACAGAGGAAATACGGTATATCCATTCGTCACTACTCGCCCCTTTCCGTAACCTCCAAGAACATTCGCCTCTTTCTGTGACCTCCGGCTCCGTATATAGGAAGCATGCATGGCAAGCAGTCAAAAGATATCCAAATTGTTGCGAATGCGGCGTAAATCAATATTCACTCACTGATCCTATAGATACATACCTACAACAGGAAACGCTATCTTGAAACATATTTCTACCGGAACTCGCCGTTTCCCTGGTAACTGATAACTGAATCGCGGAATGAATTCTTTTCCTTTGTCTTGCCGCTGCAAAAGGAAATAGGTGTGAAAATAACGCAAAAAACATACAAGAATATGTTGTTAAGGAGTTCCTATAGATATGTTTTGCTTGTTTGTACTTTAAGCCCAGGGAGTGGGGGTGGGGAGTGGGGTGGTGATATCGTACTGACTACGCCTAGCAGAAATTATAGGTATATAATATTTGGGTTTTTGTTTGTTTTTTTAATTTATTTTTTTTGCGTCCATGTACAATTCTTATTACATGACGTCATGCAAATTAAATGATTTCCCATATGTATATTCTTAACTGATATAAGGAAATAATAAACAAGGGTGTCCTAATTATGAAGCTAAAGGGTTCCAACTTTCTCTGAGTGAGATAATAAAGCTGTCAACGAATGGCAGTAAACAATATTTTTTAAAAATGAAAAAAATACATCCCACATGAATACTTAAAGGCACAATGTCACATATTTTCGACAATATTTTGGCCTATATTATTATTCATCGGGGCATATGCACTCACTTTTGCTTCCTATTATTGCAATAAAAGACCTAGTATGATCCCTTACGACTTGCCAGCTTCCAAACCGAGAACACTTGCCATATATGGAATGTAAACATCGAAAACTGTCGTACGCGGTGTTATCGGTGTTTGCCGAACTGGTTTCAATCACAAGTCGTGCGTAGGATATTCATCCAGAGCGCTCCAAGGGACATAACTCTGTGGGGTTCGCTTAAAATGATTTTCGGCTGGTAGAGGGCGCGAGAGTCGATTTAATGCAACGTTGCATTAATCAATTAATTAGAACTTTTGATTTAATATTGCAATCTAAATACGTAATTTGCTTTCGAATAAACTATATGGTAGCTTCCCTGAGGGCTGATAGTTAGTATTATTGAGAGAAATGCATTATTTATTTTAAGAGAAGTGTGGCGTGACATTGTGCCTTTAACTATTCAAGTTGAAGGAGGTGGTGGGGTAGACCAGAGGGTGAAGCGTTCGCTCGCCACGTCGAAATTCTGAGTTCTAATCCCAACATGCGTACCAAAGTTGAAACCAATTTCCTGTTTACTATGTCCTGTAGGTTGATTGCTGGGCGGTGCAACATCATATTTATTATTTCACTAAAGTATATGTATTTACAAGAGTTGGTGAGGTGAGGTGTAATGGGGTTTAACGTCGCACTTAAGAATATTTCGCTCATATGACGGCGTCCATGTATGTGTATGGGTGGCTGCTTGTACTAGCCCAGACCTAAGCTGGTTTTTTAGTACTAGCCCACTGAGATACCATGCCGCAGTGAAGCATGAATACCCCACTCAGACACATTATACTGACTCCAAGCCGACCAGTCCTTGTTGTATCCATTAATGCTGAGCGTCAGGCAGGGCCCAACAAGTACCATATTTAAACGTCTTTTGGTATGACGCCGCCGGGGATCGAGCCCGCGACCTTCCGCTCTCCGGGCGGACGCTCTAACCACTACACCACGGAGGCGGTGTATTTACATGGAATTAATGGCTGGCGGGAAACGCTGCTAGTCCTTCTGCATATGGGTCAAGGTGGCCCGCAGCATCGTCACGTTCAGCATTAGAGCCCCAGCACGTTCTAATCTCTGTTTTGTATGTTCTACGTGATACCTGTATGTTCTACGTGATACCTGTATGTTCTACGTGATACCTGTATGTTTGACGCCGCTTCTACAATATCTCATTCGTTGTATGTTCGTGATGGTTGAGCTAAAACGTGAATATCACATACTCTATATAAAGAGAGAAAAAATGGAAATATCTGACGGGATTAGACCAGGGTTTTACATGACCCATGATCCTTGCGTATTTGACTCAACAATTTTGCAAAAGACTCTCAAAATATGATCATACGAGTTAAGCTTGACGCAAGTTTTATGGGTATCCCTCACAATTCAGTTTAATAACATCAGTTTGATAAGCAAACAATGATAGTTTTCGATGATAGTTTGACTTTGACAGAGCTGTCAGATTGTTCCAGAGAACTCAGAGGAGACAGTAATCCTTGCTACTGGCTCGGGTGACACTGCTACAAAAATACCGTACTACCCTCGAGAGAAGCATACAACTTATATTACTAACTAGTTATATGAATGACAATATAACATAAAACAATAAAATATTTGCCAAACTCTTGCTTTTGGATTTATAAACACAAAGAAATATTCAATTTTCATGACTCCCAAATATTGAAAATGACTCCCCAAAATAGATATTGTGACTCCCATTTTCAAAGTCTGTGTAAAACTCTGGATTAGACTGATATTAATACAAAATGAACACCAAATATTAATTTCTCATGTAGGCATGCATCGGGAGTGAAACAGCGATGGATAGTGCAGCGAAATTAGGCCCGATTTTGGAGTTGATCGTTACACGACTGAATAAAGCATGAAACTTTCCAAAGTGCCGAGGATTATCACGATAAAACATATTTTTGGGGTGTGCCCGATTTTGGGGGCCCATTTTCCGAAACATCCAACATGGCGTCCAAGATGGCCGCCAAACATCAAAGATTTCCAATACAATGGAGACGTGTTTGGTTTAGTGACGAGTGACAGTTTTGGCTTAACCGTGGTGTGCATAGAGCCCAGGTTTACAAATCAGTTGAAGTTAAGCAACGTTGGTCGCGGAGAGTCCTTGGATGGGTGATCGTGATTGGCAGTTTGACTCCTGTGAGTGCCTAAGACCTCAATCCTGCCACACAACGAAGCACACATGACACATGTATTCTCACCTAAGCCAAGTGAGTTTGTTCATGAATTGCCTCTGTTCGCCCAGTAGTAAATGGGTACCCGGTGGGATAAGTCTTATGACTGTTACCCAAATAAATAGTGCCACACAGGCAGCTTGGGTTATCCACGGTAATAATGCGTTAGCGCTTTGAGCATGCACAAGTGTGTGGAAACAGGCGGTGAATAGTCATATTTTAACAGGCGGAAGACGTCGTGTTTGCTGGAACGTTAAGCTTGAAGCTGCATACAGGAAGTGGACGGGTTTGATGGAGAACATCCAAGTACAGCCATAGTTCTTATGGACTAAACCTATACCCCCATAGTAATAAAAACTCATACTGCCCAATAACCACCTCGAAGGATGGCACTTCAAGATGAACTTTCATCTTTCATCTTTCATCTTGCAATTCCAACATCTTTGACTTTGTCGGCGTGATCAAGCGTGAACAGTCCAAGACTGGAGTTTGACTAGCACAGCAAGAAGGACATCAGCGTGAATCCAGAAGGAAGAGGAAGTACGTCTCTGTAGACAGTACGTTGCGACGGGCGAAGGACAATTTGATCAGGAGCGAGATCTGTGTGATGGACTTTGTAGATAGGGTGGCTCACCTTTTGGGTGATTTGCAGATATCTTTAAGTGTTGTACAACTTGACGTGTTGTAAAATATTTGTAAAGAAAAGTCCTTATTACTATTGCTATAATAAATGTTACAATATTACGACAATAAGCATGACTTGTGTTATTATTGTACATTTTTACTGTGTGATAACTAGTGTTGGGAATCGGTTAAAATCCCATAATTGAGGATTGGTTCATTACTACCGATCAATCATCGAAAATAATTGGTTAGCGTCATTTATGAAATTTGTTAAAGCACATTAAAATAAGGGGAAAAGATGTAGTTCTTATGGGGTTTTTTGGCAAAATTTCACATCTTTAATGGATGACTAGTATGTTAGGAACATAAATTTCTTGGAATCTTGAAGATAAATTAAATCATGACTTGAAACGAGCTTGTAGTGCTTACGAAATGAAACAGACAAAACTAACCATGTGAAAAATATTGTTAATGAAAACAAGTGTTCCAGAATTGTTTGTGTTCGATTATGAGAAATTATGATCGATTGCTTGGTCGTTTAGTCACTACGACCAATCTTCGATTATTTCAATTAATCGGACCACCACTAGTGATAACTTGAACTCATCCATACCCATACCACCTATGTTTCATTAATTAACCAACCATGACAAACCCATACCACCTACTGGCCGACCCCTACGTAATAGATAAACATTAGGTGGTATGGATGAACACCGTTCTCATGGTCTCCAACGACCGCGATCACGTCGGCAACAGCAAAAGATCCTCCAGCAGTTGACACTGGCTTTACAACAAGAGTGGGTGAACATTCGCCACGCCACAACTGGTAATCTGATTTGTTCCAAGAGGCGACGATGCGAGGCTGTTCTGGATTCTCGTGTGGGTTATACAAAATATTAAGAACAGATGACCTTCACCTTGACATTTGATTGTTTCACACGTGCGCAGCATCGGTCAGCGCCAATGGTTTGTGTGAAATTTATTTATGAGCAATCTATTATAATCTGTTATTTTTTTACACGTGCATAAGTATACATCTGTGAAAACCACTTTTCTTTTCTTTTCTATAGCAGTAAATGGGTACCCGGTGGGATAAGTCTTATGACTGTTACCCAAATAAATAGTGCCACACGGGCAGCTTGGGTTATCCACGGTAATAATGCGTTAGCGCTTTGAGCATGCACAAGTGTGTGGAAACAGGCGGTGAATAGTCATATTTTTACAGGCGGAAGACGCCGTGTTTGCTGGTGGGGTAGCCTCGTGGTCAAAGCGTTCGCTCGTGTCGCCCAAGACCCGGGTTCGATTCCCCACATTGGTACAATGTGTGAAGCAGATTTCTGGTGTCCCCCGGCGATATTGCTTAAAGAGACGTAAAGGCATACTCACTCACACACTCATTTCTATATACTGAGAGAGATAACGTCTCGACGAACATGCGGGTGCCTAGTTTGAATTTCTATTTCTTAATTGACTATTTCTAAAAACAGCACTCGATCTCAGAGAGGCGGGAATGTATTACATTTAAAAGCTTGATGACAAGATAGGATCTTAAAAAATAGATAGATAGTATTTTTCGTTACAAATGAAAAAGTAAATAAATGGCTAAACAACGAGGCAATTCTATGTTACTTACGAATATAAAGTCAACGTAGACGTTGAACATCCACCATGTAGCTAAGATGATGAAGAATATACCCTCGTCGATGTGGCCTGCAAACGACCCCATGATCCTGGAATCAGAAATAGAGGATGAGTGAATGGTGGTTTACGCCGCAGCAGGATTCAAGCTAAATGAAAACTACCGAACTGAGTCAGGGTAAGGCAAACCTGTCGTTTACATGACCAGGAGCAAGTCGCCAGATCGGGGTATGATTACACACAATCACGCATTGTAACCACCTGATCCACATTTTCCACCTGATCCAGTCGTCGAAGGCACTGCAATAGGATGTGTGGAGTTGCCTCCCTTTCTTGTTCCAGGAATCGTTGACTGTTGGTTCGAACCGCCCGTCGCTTTTGTTATCTCGGCTCGTTAGTATCAACAAAGTGATAAACGTCTTTCCCCTACACCAAGTTGACAGGTTGTCAGAGGTGGGGATAGCCTGGTGGTCAAAGCGTTCGCACGTCACGCCGAAGACCTGGGTTCGATTCCTCACATGGGTACAATATGTGTGTTTACAGTGTACCCCGCCGTGACATTACTGAACATGGGTCATCTCAGATTTCATAGTTTACTCCACACTTCTGCAGTCAAAGGAACCAAACTGGGTTTGTTTTGTTTTTCTTACTTTTTACAATACCCAACAAAGTGTGTTGATGATAGTCAAGTAAAATCTAATTTGATTTAACGGTAAAATTTACCCCTACATGTGTTGAGCATTTGTACCCGGAGAGACTGCACGCACAACATCTACTCAATGGAGAGCGTCAAACAGTGAAGACATATTTAGATACAATCTGGATGAACGTCCTTTTTTCTCAAAGCGACCCTACAACAATCGTAGAACTAATATTTTTGGTTGAATGGGTCTTAGAAGTAGTGAGTGAGTGAATTTAGTTTTACGCCGCACTCAACAATATCGCAGCTAATAATTCACACAGAGTTGACAAGTAAACATACCTAGCAATCAACTATTACAAGTTACAAGACGTTTATTTGTAGAAAAAGTCACAACACAAATGATAATTAAACTTTATGTTGCATATTTACCAATTTGGTTCATTCCGAAAAACAACCGTTAGGAATTTGGCAACATTTAACAGTAAATTGTAGTTGCTTGATTTACAAATCTGACGAGTACTCACAGAAATAGAAATAAAATGGTTTGGGGCGTTTATGTCTTTATTACTTCAATAAAATAGGTAGTTTTAACAAATATTTAAATAACTATGTTTTTCCCCATCTAGGCCTTTTAATTCGGTCCTCTAATCATCATCCAAAATACTATCTTACAGGTAAAAATAACACGAATTTGTATATTATCAACGAATTTAGAAACATGCTATAACCTACATCACAGTCAACAATGGTTGGTAACTGCTACCCGCAGCATTGTTTAGACGGGTAGATGCATTTGCACGCGCGTTGCCATAGCGATTGTGGAGTTGACTAACAAAACTATGAATGAACACGAATAAATAGTAACTTTCAACAAGAGTACAGGCATAAAAAATGTAATGAGAAAATCCATAAATCAATTATTTTGTATATCAATTAGAACAAAATCCCTAAATCAATTATTTTGTATATCAACTAGGATAAAAGAAATAAAGGATGAATGGTATATGACGTTTTTCATAAAATATATTATGTATGCGAACCTATGGAGATTACATCTCATTTGCATACTATAGCTTGCATCAGAAACATGCATTTTGACTTTGATGATATTTCAAGTGGTAGAAATGACACGATTTGCTCTCCTCTAAACTCATCAATTTCGGATGATTTTACAAAAAATCTTAAAAGCAAAAGTTGTGAAAAACGATAATCATAGAATATTTAACAATCTATTACAAAAAAGACTTAAAATAGAATCACAATATTTACATACAAACATTTTATCATTATCACCAAAAAGAGTTTACTTAACTGTCGAGTTCTAAACAAAGCTGAGATTCGTCCTTGTTCATGAAACTAATACTCGACAGAATTTTACGCAACATGAAATTATGAGATTTATGAAGCATTAAATAATTACTTTCGAGTAAACTGCAGTTCTGATATCTATATTCCCCAACTATTAAAGTAGACATTTAAATGACAATCTGCTGTAAACAGGTTAATTTGTTTCAGACTGAATAACTTACCGCTCGCCACGCAGAGTAAGAGGATTATGTGCAGAGATGCAGGAAATTTCAACTTAAAGCAGCTGTGATACCTATGATCTCCTGCTGAATCTAACAGGGAGGCGGATATCAAACATGAGGACGTGACCGTTCGTGTTAGTAAAAGGATCACGATATACACATGTCATGGGACATTAAACACATTATATATAGCATGAACTTTATGCTCTCCATGCAAATAGATTTATTTATATATCATAATTTGTGATGTTGTTTTGACGTTTGTCCAGTCGACAGACAGGTTTGGTTCAGGTTTCCTACACCTGTTTTCGCAGTGTGAAAAGCATGATAATTATTGGCAGGGCACACTGTTATGAATAACTACGACAGTCTAATGCTGACAGTTTTGCAGCATAAAGTTTTTTTCTGTGAAATTTCTCGTTGCTTCGATTATGTTGTCGGTGTGAGGGAACATTTAATAGGAAACTTGAAGTAACGAGAAAATACTTTAAAGTTTAAGTTTTTATACAGAAATTTGAAGCAACGAGAAATTATTCGTAAGAATAAGAAAATAATTGTAATAACGAGAAACTATTCCCAGTACCGACAAAATAACCGAAGCAAAGAGAAATTTCGCTGAAAACATATTTCATGCTACAAGAGTAGCATAATTAGCCTTTGTAGATATTAACTTCTCTTATTCTTTGAAACGAGGTTCATCTTTTAAGGAGTGAGTGAGTGAGTGAGTTGGGTTTTACGCCGCTTTTAGCAAAATTCCAGCAACATCACGGCGGGGGACACCAGAAATGGGCTTCACACATTGTACCCATGTGGGGAATCGAACCCAGGTCTTCGGCGTGACGAGCGAACGCTTTGACACTAGGCTACCCCACCGCTCCATCTTTTAAGGAGATATTGATTGCTTTATTGCCTTTATTACCAAAGTTAGTTCCTTGTTATGGGGTGGTGGGGTAGCCTAGTGGTTAAAGAGTTTGCTCGTAAATCCGAAGGCCTGGGTTCGATTCTCCACATGGGTACAGTGTGTGTGAAAAACCTTTCTGCTGCCTCCGCCGTCAGTTTGCTGGAGTGAGGGGGTATGATTTTACCCCGCTTTTAGCAATATTCCAGCAATATCACTACGGAGGACACCAGAAATGGGCTTCACATATTGTACCCATGTGGACAATCGAACCCGGGTCTCAACCATTAGACTACCCCCCGCCCCGAGTTTGCTGGAAACGGGGTAAAACTAAACTCCCTCCCTTCCTCACTAACTCCTTGTTGGTACATCTAGCCCCAACACTACCCCTTCCTTTTGTTTAAATATTGCTGGAATATTGCTGAAAGCGGCATAAAACTAAACTCACTCACTCCTTGTTGGCATACCTAATCCCAGCACACCACCTTCGAGTTGAGAACGGATATACTGGCAATGAATGACCTTATGAATTGGCATGATTATTTAGTAACAAACATATATTAGAGTGAGTGAGTGAATTACGTTTTACGCAGCTTTTAGCAATATTCCAGCAACATCACAGCGGAGGACACCAGAAATGGGCTTCAAACATTGTGCCCATGTGGGGAATCGAAACCGTGTCTTCGGCGTGACGAGCGAACGCTTTAACCACTAGGCTACCCCACCTCCCCCATGTACAACAAAATGTATAAGAACCAGGGTGAATGCCATTTTAAGCATCGAGAATATTTATTATTATTCTAAGCAAGTATAACCCGGGTTAGGGTCGATCTCTAGAACTCCATGTTTGTATGAAGTATTCAACGGGATTCGGAGTTCATACTCGCCGATGACAATATTTTAAGAATTTTAATTATTTTAATAAATATTTTGAGAATCCTGGGATTTTTGTAAGACGTTGCTTTTCCTGAATCTTGCCAATCACGTTGCTGTCCAAAGGGACAGAAAATTCAATGATGTAAATAAATTCATTGGCTTTATCAAAGAGGACAAGATTAGGTTTGTTATTATTATTGTGATTAATTTACATGGGTCTATGCCTTCATTCGCCCTGTAATTTAACACACGCTTTAACCGGCCTCCTCTGCTGGCCGGGCCGGCCAACCGAAAGTTCCACGCTTCTATGAACATAAAGTTTAACAACCCATTAATTCAGTACGTGAATGAAACTTTCGCACTGTGCAACTTTGATATTAGAGAACTCAAATAATAAGCTTACCTAAATGTGTCGTTCGCGTAATAGTAGTAGTAAAACTTGGTATGCAGCCGTCTTGTGTGGTTTGTGGAAGGAAAGTTGTACATGAAGAGATAATCGAGTCGTTATCGTTGACAGGATCGTTGTTTGTCGTTGACAGGGTCAGTGTTGAGATCGTCATGGAGAAATAATAATAATCCATAAATAATATATACTTGGGCGGAAAAAAACTTTTGTTAAAAAGGTCAGTCGTGTATGTTCGGATCGATGTGATTTAAAACGTTAAAACGCGGCCATGCAGTTGCAAAGGTCCACGTTAGAATTGATCTTCATCAACCCATGCATATCTAGGTGAGGTGAAATTGGGTTTAACGTCGTGCTGGAGAATATTTCGCTCATATGACAACGTGCATGCGTGTGTATGTGTATGTGCGGCTGCTTGTACTAGCCAAGACTGAAGCTGGTTTTATAGTGCTAGCCCACTGAGATACCATGCCGCAGTGAAGCATGAATACCCCACTCAGACACAGTATAATGACTCCAAGCCAACCAGTCCTTGTTGTACCCATTAATGCCGAGCGCCAGACAGGGACCAACAAGTACCATATTTTAACGTCTTTTGCTATGACGCAGCCGGGGATCGAACCCGCGACCTTCCGCTCTCCAGGCGGACGCTCTAACCACTACACCACGGAGGCGGTCCCATGCATATCTAAAAGGAACCTTAAGGCTTGGATCGATACGCACCTGAATACTTATGAAT